GCCGGCCAAGGCCCCGAGTGCTCACTGGCCCAGAAGTGGCCTGAGACCCCGCTGGGGGCGTCCAGGCCGCTGACCCAGCAGGGCCTGCTCCCCCAGGCTGCTCAGAGGGGCAGAGCTGGGTCGGGGCCGGGATGCCGGAGCCACCACTCCCTCCCAGTGGGGCTGGAGGCCCGGCCCGGGGCTGACCCTCCCTGCGCCCTCGGGGGGCTGGAGAGGGCGGGGAGGCTGCGGGCCAGGCGGGGTGTGGGTGCCGGCTGAGTCACCAGCACTGTCTCAGGTCCAGGGCGATAGCCCTGTTTTCCCAGGGAGGAGGGAGCTGCAGGGGAGCCCTCCCTGCGGGCAGCGCCTTCCCTGACCCCGGCCAAGTCCCAGGCCGGCCGCGACCCCGGGCCCGCCACCCTTGCCGAGTGACTCAGGCCCCAGCAAGCCGGAACTGCCCCCTCCAGCAACATCCGGGATTAGCCAGGGGCGGCCACCCGGGCCTTTGTCCTCTGCGGGCGTCCTCAGGCGCCCTCTGGGAGGCCGCTGCCCACTAATCCCGCAGATGCACAGGCTGCAGGCCCTTCGCCCCCGGGGCCTCTCAGCAGTGGCCTCCCGGGGCCCTGGGCGGTCAGTGGGCTGGCCAGGTGCCCGGGGATACTGGCTGGACAAGAGAAGGGGCAGGGTCCGCCATGTGGTCTGGGCGCGTCCTCTGTGCCCAGAGAGGCCAGTCCTGTGCTGGGGCCGGCACTGCGCCCCTCCATCCCCACCTGCCTCTCCCCTCACGGTGCTGTGTCCAGTGCACACCGGGCAGCGCCCACCATGGCCTGCGGTCTGGTGACCCTGGTCACTCTGTCTTCAAGAGTCGGGCCCCTGGGAGCCTCACCCTTGAGGGGCCTGGCTGCATTTGCCCGTGACCTGGGATGCAGCAGGCACGCGGGAGACGTGCTCTGCTCTGGGCTCAGACCTGGGGTGGTGCCACCATCCTGGGGGGCAGAGGAACCACCCGCAGGGGGGAGGACTCACCTGCCCAGGGGGAGGGCCCACCTGACCGGGGGAGGATCCACCTGGCCCAGGGAGGACCCACCTGCCCGGGGAAGGACTCACCTGCCCAGGGAGGACCCACCTGCTGGGGGGAACCTGATGGGGATGGAGGACTCACCTGCCCGTGGGGAGGACTCATCTGGCTGGGGGGAGGACTCACCTGCACGGGGTCAGGCCACTCACCTGTGTACTGACCACTGCCCCTCTAACATCTACTGATCTGGCTAACGGAGAATGACCTTGTGCCTGTGGCCGGTGTTTCCAGCTCACGTCCGCCTCTGTCCACTGCTGCTGGGCACCGCAGGCCTCGCCCTGGGACAGGCGCCCCGCAGCGCCGACTGTGG